GCTCATAATCCCATCCTAATCTGGCCTTTCTTTAGGGCTCTGTACTTGATGTGAGGTATTATTTTACACATTAATTAGTACATACGCGTAACTAATGAAATTCTGTCTGTTTAGGATGTGTAATTCATTGATAACAAGTTTTTATTGGGTCTAGATCAGCTTTGAAAAAGGAACTGGGAATAAGGAATCCAGGGAACCGGAAATAAGAAACCAACTTCAGCCTCATCCTGGGGAAGGAGGTGCAAAAGCGGCGGCGCGGGAGAGCAGCGCAGCAGCCTCCGACTGGCCCCATCCCCGTGCGCGGAGTTATGAGGTCCCCCAGCGGCCGTCCGCTGCTCTGCACCGGGGCCCCCGCCCGCGGGACCTGGACAAACCCGGTGGGGGGGCGAGGCCCGGTAAGGCACAGCGCGATGCGCACGCGCGGGGGCGGGGCCAACGGCCGGCTAGATCCCCGCTCGCAGCTGTTGGTTGTTTACATCACAGGCTGCACAAGCCGGCGCTGCCCCGCCCCCTCCCCAGGCCCCGCCCCTGCTCTGGGTGTGGCGTCGTGGGGAGGGGCATGGGCTGACTGCCTCACCAGCCCTTTCCCTCTTGGTCTCTGAGCACGAGGGGGCGGGGCCTTCACTCTAGCCCCCTCCGGCAGGGCCTGGCACTGCCTCCCGAGTGGATTCTAACGCGCGTGCGCGCGGGGGCGGGCCGAGGCCAATGCTAGTACCTCCGGGTTCTTCCTCCCGGCTCTGCCCTTCCCCCGGCCCAGCCCGGCGGCCACGTCTCCCGGAAGATGGAGCCGAGGGGCCGCGTCCGGCCTGAGCCCTCCGCGTAGCCGCCGCGGGCCCTCGTCTCGGGTCGGAGCTGCAGGGCTCGGGGGAGGAGGTGAGGCGCCGGGGCCGGAGGCAGCCGGCTAGGGGCCGCTGCAGACGAGGCCGGGCCGGCCGGGGGGTGTCGGGCCGGGCACGGTGGTGCCTCGGGCGGGGTGGCCGAGCTGTGCCGCATGCGCAGGGGTCGCTCTGCCCCGCTCCTCCACGATGCCGGGGCCCGGCGGCTGGGCAGCTGCTCCTGTCCCTGCGAGGGAGGGCCTGGCCGTGAGGCTGGAGCCGCTGTCGGACTCGCAGCCGGTCTGCAGTGCCCGAGCCGGCCCCTGCGTGCTGGCCCTGCGCCTGTTTGGGTCCAGTGCTAGCCCTTCCTCATGCACCACAGCCAGCGTAGGGCTGGACCAGCCTCGCGTGGCGCATGTGCGCAGGATGCGCTGTGCCCCAGCGGACTGGCTGTGGCGAGGCCCACTTTGGACCAGGTGCTGCCCATCTGGCCCAGCCCATGCGCACTGACTCCACGTGCTGCAGGCCAGATTGTAGAGCTCCAGAGGCTGGATCTGGCTCTTGGGCTGTATGTTTGACGCCCCTGTCAGTACGTTTGACTAACACATAGTATACCGCGGAGATGAGCTTGATCCAATGATCTGTGTTTGCATTGTAATAACTGTGTTTTGTGTTTTTCTTGCAGCTCATGGTTTTGGAGTTTCAGTGTTGTCAATCAGTAGGCATCCATTATGTCTTGGCTTGTCGATCTTGCTGGCAGGGCAGAGGATCTTCTTAACAGAGTCGATCAAGGGGCTGCAACAGCTCTGAGTAAAAAAGAGACTGCAGGCAGTGCAATTTATAGTACTAAGAACTTGGGATCTGCCAGTGAATATCCTGAATCACAGCAGCAAACCAGAGAATTGAAGCATCAGACTTCATCCAAAGCAGCCTATATTTCTTCAGCCGCTGATAACATTAAACAGCAGAAGGCTACGATCCTAGCAGGAACGGCAAATGTCAAAGCAGCATCCAGGACCTCTTTGGAGGCCTCTCCTCCAACAGAAAGTGTTTCCACACCCAGACCTTCCTCACAATTTGTGAGAAGGAAAAAGTCTGAACCTGACGATGAGCTCTTGTTTGATTTTCTCAATAGTTCTGAGAAAGAACCGAATGGAAGGATGGAGTCTAAAAAGGAGAAGAGTAAAGCTCTAACAAATCACTCTCGGACTTCAAGCATTGGTTCTGTGTCTGCTAGTGCACAGAGTGTGAAAATGACTGAAGACAACTCCAGCAGGAGTCAAGGCCATGGTAGCTAAATAGAACTCTACATACCTATTAAAAATAAGGGTATTTACGATTGTTGTGGGTAGTGTAACAAACTTACTGGCTCTTAATGCAATAGGCACATTTGGTACGTAAGAGGTCTGATGTAAAAGTACGGCTGTCCAACTGGCGGCCCAGCCTGTGGGTTCAATTGTTCTTGCTCAGCTGCCAGTAGCCCTGTCACCCTGGATTCAAGAGCAGCCAGAGTCTTCCAGGCTCCTCCTCTTACTTTTGATATCTGCCCATGCCCCAGGGGTTGGGGCAGTGCAGCTGAGGAAACTGAGGGTGGGTCTGTGCAAGTGCGTGGTGGTGTGGTGCATCCGTAGGTGGCGGGGAGCAGGCATGGTGTGTTGGGGGTTGCAGGGAGGGCCTGCACAGTACAGCTGAGAGTGGGAGGGCATCTGTGTGGTATGCTGCCCAAGAGGCCCTCTTTCATGCTGGTAGTGTGTGGCTGATGGGGCATTTGGCTCCCAGCCACTTAGAAGTTGGACACCCCTGATCTAAAAAAATAATCTGGCTGGGAGTCAAGAATCTGAGCTCTAACAGTTCTACTGATTTGCCATGTGGCATCAGTCACATCAGTATCTTGCCTTCATTTCTCCTTGTGTAAAATGAAATTAATGTCAGTTCTGTCTCCCAAGAGTGCTGGTAGAGTTCTTTGATATTTGTTCAGTGCTTCAAACATGTAAAGCATTCAAAAGCAAGAATTTAATTCAACTATGTTTAAATCGGTGAATAGGTTTAGCAGTCGTGATGAAGGGGAGTATTTTTCAAAAGTGGAATATGTCTATACTCCAAATCTAGGACTCCATAATTTTGGCAAAGTGAAGTATATTGATTCTGAATAGATGATAAACAGCACCTTAATGTGTAATACCGGCACAATGTGCATGTTCTGCTTAGTAAAGTATCTTTAGTTTGCTAATTGTTTCTTTTAGCTGGATTTGTTTGTTAGTGCATCTGACGAAAAAGAAGCCACATTGGTTTTAAATAAATGATTTTGAAAGTAATAGCTGTATGATTGGTTAGCTATGTAGATATGGCTTTGTAATTGCATCTTCCCATGTAACTTTCATTGGGAAGAATTCTATAATGGAGATGGACTCTTTGCACAGATTCATAATTAATTGACAAAAGTAAATCTTTAGCGTGTGATAGCAAGTATATGGCCATGAAATGTACTGGCAGATACATAACCAGGGGACTGGCTAATGCTTTGTCCGTTAACTTGAAATGAGTTGGCATGAAACAAAAGATGAGGGTTAGCTCTCTGATAATGTGGTAGCCATATGAATTAATTAGGAAGAAAATGGCATACTATAGAACTGTTTAAGAAGCATTGAACAGATCTTGCTGCCATTCTGTTGCTGTTGTGTTGCTTGGCGTGTTATTATTCAGAATTAATGGCCTGCCCATCTCCTAGGCAGTGTGTGACAAGGACTGTCACAGTGCACTAAGGTGTGCCTGCTCCTTTAAGGGCAGAAACTACCTAGAGAGAGGGCCCTAGGAGCTAGGCAGAACCCCCACAGGTGCAGGTTGCTGTGGCACCGGGCTAATGAGGGAATTAGCCTGCTCCTGCATCCCGTCAGCTGACTGAAAGAAGGCAGGGGCCTGGGCACATATAAGCCCCAGGGCTCGGACTGGAGGCTGTTAGTTCTCCTGTAGCTGCTAGGGGAAGGACCTGCTGCAGAGAAGAACTGCCCAGGGATGCTGTGGCCACCTGATATGCTGCTTACAGGACTAATAGGACTCTAGGACCTCATCAGATACCCTGGACTGCGAGGCACTTAATACTTGGGGAGAAGTTTGCCTCTTTTAAAAAAAAGAGATGGAGTGCACCATGCACTGTTTCTATTATGTTATAGCCCAGGGGCTCATATTTTGGTTGCTGTTTGTACTGTGGTGGACTAGACTGAGGCTTTTGGGGAGGAGGGGGCCTCATTGGGGCACACTGTGGTGTAGACCCCAGTGCCAGAGAGGGTGCAGAGACAGGGACCAAGGGCCCAGTGAAGACAGGAGGCCTAGTTAGTCTGAGGCCTCATTAAAATAGGGACAACATTTAAATACTACCTGCAAGACATGGGGCATGGTAAAGGGGAGGTGTTGGAGCCACACATCTAGCCCATAAGGCTTAGGGTGTCCTGTGAGTTGCCTACTGAGTGTGGGACCCAGTAAGGGGTCCCACAACCCATAGGGTTTACAGGAATGTGTCAGGACTGTGATGAGCTGCAGCTCCACGGCAGCCTCTTGATTCATCATTTAAACCAGCAAGACATGGCAGGTGAGATTAATAGGTGCCCATAGGGTGGAGGTGGCATGGTCACGTTACTCTGGGGACATTACAGGGGAGGCCGTATCATGACAAGGATTCTTGCAGTGATAAGGAGGAAGGTGGAACAGGTTTGCTAGTGAGCACAAGGTAAAGTAAACAGCATGATTACAGTTTAAAATACAATCTTGGCCCTTCTTTTTGTATCAACTGCCATCTGTATTCTCTGGTTTTCATCCAGTTATCCATTTTAGAGCCATGGAATTCAAAGTCAAGTTAACATTTATGAAAGAGCTGTTTCTGTTTTTTCACACTCCCTGTCTGCCATGCTTTTTCATATTACCAGCAGTGAAACCTTAACTTAAAGCACTAATATATCTGCTTATTGGAGTTGAGAATGTTAGGTAGGTTTTAAGTAATTCCATAGTCAGAATCCCAGTGCTTTAGTTCTGCCTCTACTTCTGCCTTTTTCTCCTAAGAAATCCCTTTTCAGAATACAGCTGTCTGTTCACATACACTTTTATAAGTTGGAATTTTATAAAGAGATTGTAGAATCTCCTTGGGATAATTCAAGGCATTCGTAGGGAATTGTGCCTTCTAGAAGCATGACATTTAGAAGGAATTTTTTTAATGTGTAATAGAACCCTGCAGAAGTATGGGAGGTAAGTATAAACAAAGAATCATCTTACAGCCTCCTACATCACTGTATATAATTACTATAATTTCCAGTGTTTTTATAGTAAATACATTTTATATGGCAAAACAATCATCCT